GTATATACTACAACATTTATGTTTTTTTTCTACCTCAAAATTGTGAGAAACCATGCTGTGGAGTTTTGATAATAGATAAATCAGGAAAGCAGGGGTCCCAGGCAGGGGTGAAATTCAGCAGGTTCTGATAGGTTCTGGAGAACCGGTAGCAGAAAGTTTGAGTAGTTCAGAGAGCCGGCAAATATCACCTCTGACTGGCCCCAGAGTAGGTTGGAAATGGAGATTTTGCATTATCCTTCCCCTGCCACATCCACCAAGCCACACCCATAGAACCGGTAGTAAAAAAAAATTGAATTTCACCACTGGCCCCAGGGCCACTAGTGGCCTCAAACTTCCCCGTTTGGTTGATGGCAATTGGTGCTGGATAGAAGGATCTGCATTCAGCAAGACTTTTGATACTTTTTCTCAATTGCAAAACAGACATAGCAAAACACCCTTCTCCAACAATAGTCAGATGCCGTGGATTTCCATGCCCTGAATTGCCAGCCTGCATGTTATGTTGAAGTTCAACCAAGAGGAGATGAAATTGGGAAAGATACTTGACTTAGTTGTCCACTTGTCCTAATAACTTTTTCTTCAGTATCTAACTATTTCTGTCAAGGAAAAATAATTGTAGAATAAGAAGTTTTCCTTCTTAATTCATAAAGGTGATTTATGTCGCATGCATCAATACTCATGTGCATAACTGAAAATGCACAATTTGTGTCCGACGACGCATATTACGCATACCTATACTTATAAAAGTCTTTGACCAAAGTTCTCAGTGAAAGGGAATTAATAAGGAGTGTCTGCATAAAATTTTTGCCATTTCAGCTACTCTGGGATCATACTTTTCCCTTAATGCTCACCATAATCCTGTCACTGTCGATGATGGTGTTCAGTCTGTGTGCAATTGTCAAAACAGTACACTGGGCAAACTTTTCACGGATTGTCTTTTGAATCAGCTCATCTGTTCTGAAATAAACAACACAAGTAATGTGAAGAGATTATGCAACAAGCAAAACAGTTTCTGCTTCTGGGCACTTTGTTTTTCTACATTCTTTGGCATAGCTCTATGTCAACATGTTTTAATAAACTGTAGCAGCAAAGTGCATGTTTGCCTTTTAGACACGTCAAAGTGTTATGTTACACTACAACACAGCATGCTATAGCCCTTTGCAGGCAGTCATTCCCTAAGTGAGGAGGAGAAGGAAAATGAGGATTGCATTTGACAGAACCCCACCTTTCCTTACTGAATCTAAAAAAAATATGCAAAATGTGTGTCACCGACAAATGGGCTTTCCACTATACAATAACCAAATTCTATAGTGTTCAGACCACATAGTATTTGCTGACAGATATAAACATATAGTAATGTTTGTTAGAAAAACTGTGTAGGATTCTGGTCTGGAATTAAGGTGAAACTTCCTAACAGTGAGAACATTTAACCAGTGGAATGGGTTGCCTTCAGAAGTTGTGGGTGCTCTATCACTGGAGGTTTTTAAGAAGAGACTGGACAGTCACTCCTCTGAAACGTTTGAGCTGGGGGTTGGACTAGAAGACTTCCAAAGTTCCTTCCAGCTCTATTCTAATTGACTGAGAAAATTTCAGGCCAGAGTATGGAACTGAAAGTCTCCGTTCTTTTAACGAATGAAAAGTTAATTTGGTGGAAAGACAGTTTACATCAGACCTACAAGGAAATGTAACAATTCTTGCCCCAAACATCCCAAAAGTACCATTGCTTACCATAAGGCTAGCTAATGCAATCTGTAAGATAAAGGTAAAGGTTCCCCTCGCACATATGTGCTAGCCGTTCTCGACTCTAGGGGGCGGTGCTCATCTCCGTTTCAAAGCCAAAGATCCAGCACTGTCCGAAGACAACGTGGTCATGTGGCCGGCATAACTAAATGCCGAAGGCGCACGGAATGCTGTTACCTGCCCACCAAAGGGGATTGCTATTTTTCTACTTGCATTTTTCAATGTTTCCAAACTGGGTGGGTGGGTGGGTGGATGGATGGATGGATGGATGGATGATAGATAGATAGATAGATAGATAGATAGATAGATAGATAGTAGGTAGGTAGGTAGGTAGGTAGGTAGGTAGATGGATGATAGATAGCAGATAGATAGCAGATAGATAGATAGATAGATAGATAGATAGATAGATAGATAGATAGAT